ATCATCATCATCATCATCATCATCATCATCATCATCATCATCATCATCATCATCACCACCACCACCACCTATGATCCATGAGGCAGTGGCTTACTCTACCTGAACACATGCCTGCTCTGAATTGGGTATACCAGGATGAGCAACTTGTGACTACACCTCCCAGTAGCCCTTGCCAGCATAGATACTGGGGAGGGATTAGGGGAGTTGTAGTCCATCCCTGTTGGACACATTTACCTTGGAGAAAGTTCCTTTGACTCTCCTCTCATGACCTTTGCCTCTGAGCAAACATGCAGAGATGGCACAGCACAGCTGTCTAGTGCTTGGGGAGTGCCCAGCATGGTTTCCTTTGGTAACCCTTGTCTGTGCATGGAACTTGGAGAGGGTGTTCTAGCTGGGCCGTGCCTTCTCCCAAACAGTATTTCAGACAATAACTGTGTCCCATCAGAAGGAACCCTTGTTTCCAAATGCAATGCATAGGATTGTTTGAGTAGGTTTCTCTTTTTGAAACTGAAGCTTCTCCTGTTCTTTCTGGCATGCCTGCTTTGGCAGCCACATCTGGCCTAGCGCCTCTCCCTTCCACTCAGACTCTGGATGACACAACCACAGCTGGATATAGGAGAGGGTGCTTGGATGGAAGGAAGCAGTACAATCCACTCAGACTGGCTCACCCCAATCATTCTTAATCTTTTTCTTTTTTAATCAATCAGTTGCATTAAATTCTTTCATTTAAAAAAAATAACCAAAACAAAGGAGACCAGAGGGTGATAGGGAAACCAATATTTTTTTTAAAAAAAAATTGTATTCCAGATGTTTCTGATTTTAACATGCCTCACCCCTAGACAACTGTCCCTCTTTTAGTCCGCTCTGTACATGGAGAGAGGGGAGATTCCCCAAAGCCAGGCAAACCTGCAATCCATAGGCCTCTCCTAGGGATTGATTGACCACCATTGCATTCAGTGGGACTGGCGTTTTATGCACTTGCCCTCTGGCTGGTGGTGTTTTGCAGCAAAACCATAGGAAGACGTCTGTGGTTTTGCCGCAAGACAGCAGCAACCGGTAGACCGACTGCCCCACTAGAAAAGGAAGACAGCCCCAGCCACAACCTGCCCTTCCTTCGGAGCAGAAGATGCAGAGGAAGGCGCTGTTAAAGCCTGCATCCCATCCCTTAAGGCACAAGCACCTGCCACAGGAGAGGGGGGAGGGAGGGCGTTAGCATGATCAACCCTCCCCACAGTCACTAAGCAAAACCTCCTCCTGGGCTCTGGATGGAGCAGCAGACCCCCACGGAAAAAGAAGGGAGGGGTCCCAACTCCCCGCAGCCTCCCGTGCGCCAAAAAACCGGCGGGGCGGGGGGTCGGTTTGGAGGCGGGAAGAGGATGCTGGTTGTAGGCTAATCATCAAGATCATCATCGTCATGTACTGTTTTCCCCTTATTATTGCGGCTCTTTTCTTCTTCCGCAAGGCAACCAAGGTCTTCGAGCCTGCGTGTGCACGCGCGTGGACAGCGAACGGGAGGGTGGGCGAAAAGAGAGAAAGGATCCTTTTGGCCACGCGCGTCTTTTCACGTCCACCAGCCTTCTTTTTTGCCAAAGCGTCGGGCAGGCCCGAGTAAAAAGGCGCTCCCCGATCCGCCTGCCCGCTTTTCCTGGGCAAGCAGCAGCCGACGCTGGCTTCGCTGCAAGGAGCATCCATCGAGCTCCCCGGATACCCGAGAAAGACGCGGAGGCGCAGCCGGGAGGGAGAAGCGATGCTCCGCCGCAGGGAAGCCTCCTGCTGGCCGGGGCAGCAGGAGGAGGAGGAGGAGGGCTGGCGTGGATGCCCCACCGGTTGGCGGGCTTGTGCGCCTTGCGCCAGGAGGCTGGCCGGGGGATGCGCTGGCGCCCCGTCGCTCTGCTGCGTCCAAGCCTCCAGCCTCCGGAGCAGATGGCGCGGGCGGGCGGGTGGCAAAGAGACGAGCAAGCCAGGCTACCCGCATCCTAGCGTGGGAAGGGGAGGGGGATCGGCGCAAGCTTACCCGGCAGCAGGCACCGCGGTCCTGACTTGTGGCGAGGTGTGAGCACGAGTCCGCCTGCTCGGCTGGCTGCCTTTCCTCGGTCGTACGGATCCAGCCTTTCCTTTTCCCTCCCTCCCTCCCAACCCCTTTTAACACACACACGCACGCACGCGCGCGCACATACACACACCCGTCCAGGGACTGTCAACAGGCAGGGCTGGCGCTCCGTTTTCTCCCCGCCCATTCGCCGCCGCTTCTCAGTTCAGGCGCTGGCGCAGCCTCAAGACCACGGCGGAGCAATCTGGGACTCGTAGTTCCAGGCGGCAGCCAGAGAGGCGCTCTGCGCCTCCTCACGGAGCCTTCCTGGCTTCATCGCATTACGGTACAGAACCCCCTTCTAGCCTGCTCACTGCGCAAGGGCTGAGCTGGAAAGGATGGTAGCCAGGGGCAGTTCCCCTTGCAGAGACGACCTTCGACTTCAAGAGTTACCCAGATCTAGCCTGATTAAATCAGCAGTAGAAGAAAGGAAAACCGGACCTTGGGGGTTGGTGGTGGTCATCCATCATCCTAAGATAGCAGGAGCTACAGAACCGCAGGCTTACCAAGTCACTGCCTGCCTGCCCCACTTGCCTCAAGTGTTTTGTGATGCTGTTTAAATGGTCAAAAATAATTTCCAACTCTGCATCTACAGAAGGAGCAGAACTGCTTGAGAGCAGGGCCCACACTGAAAGGCAGCCAGGAGACATCAAAGGGCTCTTCTCCTGCCAATGATGCATAGCGAACGAACCGTGCAGTCATTTAATTAAACAGGGTGCCTCTTTATAGTGACACAGTATAACTGACTTAATTATGAGGAAGGCATTGGAACATGTCATCTGTGATAAATGGTAAGCTACTTGTTTTCATTGCTGTCTTGTCCCAGGAAGAGATTCATTCATCGATCGGCACATAGGCACCAGGCCCCCACCCCACACAGCCACAGATTTTGAAATGTGGTTATTCACTCCACACATCTTCCCCTAGTGGCCAAATCTTGTCAGAAACACTGCGTTCATCTATGCAGCCAAAACTGTTTCAGTGATTTGCTGGTGTTTGATTTGCCTTATAGTATAACCTTCTCTGAGAGCCTTGCTGATACATGAGGTTAAAGTAATTAATTGTGGAGACTACAATTTGATGTAAACTACCTGCATAAATGTTTCCATACACAACTACATATGTTTATTATTTACCTATATAAACTACAAGGAAATATAGAAAAACAGCAGTACACTAGAAATATAATGTCAGAACACACCTTGCATCAAATTACATAAGGGCTACCACCTGGTAACACATCAGTGTGGAACTCTCAGTGCTTTGAGCTCACTGCAAGAGGGATGGGATTTAAAGGTTTGGTTTTGACTAAAATCAGGAAATGCTTCCTGACGTTAGGAGCCATCCAGGGGTAGAACAGGCTTTCCTCTGACTCTCCTTTGCTTTGTAAGCAGAAGCAGGATGGGCATCTGTCAAAGATGTTTTGATTTCCTGCACCAAAGGGGGCTTGGTAACCCTTGAGGTTACCTCCAACTCTGCCATCCTAGGACTACATATAGCCATCATTTTAAAAAAAATTCCTGTGGGTAGACCAGCCACTGATTTCTCATGCCATATTTTTCTTGGCCCTTTACTCTAATATTTCAAAGGAATGGTTTGGACAACTGTGTTGTAACTCCTGCAGAGAAGGGACCTTAGTGACACATCTTTTGCTTCCATTTGTTTAAAATACTTTGTTTCCCAGCAGCTGCTCCCTTTCCAATTGCTGTCTTCAGTTCTGTTAAAGATTACAGACACTGAGCTTTTCCTTTAAAGAAGGAGCTTTTTATTCTGTTTGCTTCACTCACACTTTTTGCTGTAAGTTTGGGGAAAAGGCTGGCATTCGAGGAAGCACAAGAAAATTATAATAGAGCGCTACACCATGGCAGCCATCATGTAACATACAAAAGCCCCTCTTCATTCAGGCCCAGGCAGGGTGCCAGGAGTACTCAGCCTTGCTCTGTGGCATCTCTCACCCTCATCACTCTCAAGTGAAACTCTCACAGCCTTTTACACAATCCAGGCAGATCAATAGCAGAAATCCCCTGTTTTAGCATACAGAGGATGCTTCATGGGTAGAACAAGGGCCTCTCAGATAGTTTCCTCTTTCATTCCAGACTCCTTCCTTCTGAGCTCACAGGAAGGAGGAGCAAGACTCTTTACCATTCAGCAGAGTGCGGCAGCCCCTCCAGCATTGGATGTGAGGCAAAATTTGAAAAGCTACTTTAAAGTAAATGGGTACCACATTTTGATGAATTTCTCTTGCTCGCTCAATTTATTTCCCTCAGTTCTTTTGTAAACTCTGAGCTTGTGCTAAATTAACATCTCAGATGATGGAATATATTAGACTTTAGAAATCTGTGTGTGAGCCCTCATCCAGATTAGGTTCTTCCCAATTCTTGGTGCACCTGCCACCGTGTGTGTGTGTGTGTGTGTGTGTGTTTGTGTGTTTGTGTGTTTGTTTGTGTGTGTTACACGTGCCATCTGGTTGGCCAGATGGGTGGTATAAAAATGTAAAAATAAATAAACTTAGACAAACGTGTAGATCAATAAATGAACATGCTTATAGTGATCCTAATAGGGCTTTCGGTGTCAATGACATATTTGAAGAGACTGCCTGTTTCATCTTTCCCCCCACCCCATCCCAAGTGACTCTATTTGTGAAGAAGCCTGTCAGTATTTCTCTTGTGCCTTTTTCTTCTTCTACCGAGGCTGGGCATCATCCTGGCTGTGTTCACTCGATGTGGCAGCTCTAACAAATGAGATTATGTTGCACCCACAGCAGTTTTCAAGGTTTTTCAGCCAAACAGTTTTCCTTCCTGCAGTGCTTTTCCCATTGAGTTTACCTCAAATAATCAACTGTAGCAATCTGTAGTCTTATGATACGACCGAAGTGTTCTGACTTTCAGGATTTTATGTGTTTTGTGGTTTCTTGGTCTTTATTCATTCACCTTAGCACTTCTTGTTCAGTCACCGTCTTGAGCTAGAAATTCATAACAGCCTGTGTTAAATCCACATTTCAAAATCTTGTTACTCTTAATTTTTTATTAAACTCCAAGGTTCAGCTGAGGATACTTGGTTACTTGCAACAAACATTTTCAAAACCAGTTTCAGATTTGCCGTTGTGCATTGCATTCTTCATCTTAATGAAGCTGTTCTGAGTCACCCTTGTTCGGACTTTTGTTACTTTTTCCAAGAGTTTTGGAAATCTCCCTCGTCTTCTGCAAGCCCACACCTTCTTCCTCAATACCAGAGATTCAACCCTTCTTCTATTGTTGCTACTGCTGGCGCTGAGCGAACTACAACTAAAATCAATGGCGGACTCCAGCTCCCATGATGCTCTTGGGAGACTTTGGCGCCTGCCGGAGGGACTCCGTGGACGCCGCCGCGCAGGCGCAGTGACAGGGCGGGGACGGCAACTGTAGTCGTCCTTGCGTGCGGAGGCTGGGGAGTGGGGCAGGAAGTTTTCCTTCGGGTCGGGTGAGTTTGCGGCGGTATCGAGGGGGAAAGGGGAGGTCGCGTCGGCGGCAGCAGCAGCAGCAACAGCGGGGTCAGGAAGAGGGTCGGGGGGTGGCTGGACCTGAGCGGTTGCGCCAAGTCTGGAGGGGTAGGGGGGGCGGCGCGGCGGTCGAATGTGTTGCTTCGGTTGCAGTTGAGCCAACTTGGCGAAAGCCCTGGAGAAGGAGGCTGGTCTGTGGACGAACTTAAAACGAATTAACAGAAAAGAGAGAGGACGAGCCTTTTTGGCCCCGTTGAAACTCTCAGCTTGATTTCCCCCTTCAGCATTGCTGGATTGGAGTCCACTGCCTGGGGTGCAATACGTGGGGTGCGAGAGATAGATTACACTGAATGAAATTAAAAGGGAAGGGGATCCGCGACGGCAACCGAAGGGTCTTATACACGCGGGTTCGTGGGAGCAAGTTCCATTGAACTTAAGGGGTTGTACCTCCGAGTAAACATGTTTGGCACTTAATGCCGCTGCTTCTCTTGTAGCCTGGGCAAGGGGGGGGTTGCAATGTCCCCGGGTGGTGGACTGCGTTTCCCATCATCCCTCAGCCAGACTGAGCTGAAGGTAGATGGGACTTGTAGTCTGTCACATCGGAAGGGGAACCAGGTGTGAAAAATTGATTATGGGATCCCCCAGTTGCCAGAAGTGTTTGGTTGCAAAGGATAGGATGAGTTTGTAGCTGCAATTTGGAAGGCGGGGGGAACAGGGCAGTAAGTGTGCTGGGCTTCTGTGGGAGCAATCTTCTATCCCCCCCCCTCCTTCCCCTTCGCCTCTCTGTCCCTTCCCTGAAGCTCTTACTCTGAAAATCTGATAAATCCACACCCAGGAAATTCACTCCACCCCTTGTCACATTGAACAGACTTGTTCCCCCCCCCCCCCCGCGTTTCCTCCTTCGGACTTGTCAGTCAGGCCCAGCGTTCTGCCTTTCCCTCCCTCCCTCCCGGAGACTTCCTTCCTCACTGCAGACTTTGTTGTGTTAAGTTAGGAATGTGTTGGCTCTTTTGTTAGAATGCTGACTTTCAATTTAATTTGTTTTTGCTTTTTCACATTCTTTGTCAGAATTGTTGACCGACATTTAACATCAATGTTTTCATTGATTTTCAATTATTTCGAGCAGTCTGTATGTATTTATGTGCATCTTGTGTGTATGTGTTTATAAATACTCCAGAATTTAATGAATATATTATGGTTCATAATGCTTAGTGTTTTGTCATTGCATTTGTTTGCCTATGGATGTTTTTGGTTTTTACTGCATCTTGCTTAGTACAACCAGCTCTTTTTTCCCCCTTGAAGTTGCCTCTTCTTCTTAGTCTAAAAAAAGAAATTATAATTACTCCCCAGCATTTTCAGGTCATGCTGGGAAACCTTGCAGAGCAGTTGCAGTTTACAACAGGCTAGTCTTCCAAAGACTTGGGGGGGGGCAGATTCTGTGGGATTCTTGACAATCATATCCAGGAGATCTGGAAGGCCCCACTTTGAGGAAGGCTGGTGTTAATGACTGTACAAGCTGAGCAGAAAACTGCTTCTCCATGTTGTTTTCCAAATAGTCTGTCTCA